GACAGAAAAGAACAGACTGCACATAAAAGGCCAGAGTTGTAATCCCCCTCTGTCATTAACTACCTGTATCACCGCGGTTTGACCCTTGGCACGTCCAGAGGTCCGCGTGACGTGGAAAACAACCAAGCTCGCGCGTCCCCTCAGGCATTCCGTCAGTGCTTCACTCTGGGGAAGTCACTGCTGGGATCTCCGTTTCCACAAGTGATGCGTTGGGTTAAAGTCTCTACATTTCGGGCTGCTCCCAGTATTGAGATTACAGACATGGCTGGATGTGGAGAAGTACCTCGTAAACGTTTCTAGAACGAGAGCTAAATCTAAACCACCTTGTCACGAAATAGTTCAAAAGGATAGTTGAAGGCTAATAAGACATTCCTCTGGAAAGGAGAGGGTATCTAAACACTTAAAGCCCACTCTCAATCTGATGCAGAAGAAAGCAGATATTCCTCAAGAGTAGAGGCTGAAATTTTTCCCTCTCTCAGTCCAGGATCAGCAAAAACGCCCTGCGAGGTAGGTTCTCAATAAACCTGCTACTAGTGTCTGGATACCAAAACACCGTAACTGACAATCACTGTAACCTTCTGAGTCATAACACTATAGAAAATGATTTATCTAAAAAATGTGAGTCAAAGAATAAATATGTGAGTCACTACATCCGCTTTCTTACAAAAAACAAAACCTGATAAGCCTAAGAAAAACTATTAAAAAGTAAATAACCACACTCTTGCCTGGACAAAGTGGGGAAGTGCACGCTATGGCGTGAAGGCACCACAGCTAAATGGAATTCTACAACCTTCACTCTCATTTTTCTACTTTACACGCTTGACAACACACAAGCAATCAAAACATTTTCCAGAAAGGGTCCCCCAAAGTGAAACTCTTAAGCCATCGAGCTTTGTTGTGCAAAGAGAAGCACATAATGCAAAATAATGATCCTTCCTTCATATATGTTTACCCCACATATATATCCTAAGTAATGCTAAGAATCTCATTATTAAGAGAAACTGATGTAATATGAAAAACACTTATTTTGAAACACCAACAAAGAAATTTATCTGGACACTAACGCATGCGTGCATGCTAAGTCGCTTCAGTTGTGTCCGACTCTGTGCGACCCTATGGATGGTAGCCCACCAGGCTTCTCTGCCCATGGGATTCTCTAGGCAAGAATACTGGAGTGGGCTGCCATTTCCTTCTCCACTGGACACTAATAGACCATCATAACCTGGAATCCTCTGCTCCACTTCCTCTTGTAATCAACCACTAAATATAACTTGACACTAAAGATAACCAGCCACCAATCCATATATTATATCAGATAATCAAAAATACAGGGTTATGTAATCTTATTTAATGGTTACTTGGCTTGGACTGAAAACCATCCAATGCAAGACCAGAGAACTGGATTAAATTATAATGCGTAAGACATTTCTAAAGATGTTTTTAGTAAGAGTCAGCACATCCCCTAGTAGCAAATATAATATAAAACATGGAATGCTACTTTCATCTCCAATTAACCTCCTTGGCAAGAAACTGCAATGTCAACTCACTCTACAGGCAATGGAGGTGGGGATTTTAAAAAGTTTATTTTATTTGATTCAGTTTTAACATCAGGTAAACATCATGCATTATTTTTGGCAGAGAAACAAGAACATTCAATATTTGAGGGGGTGGGGGGGAGGAAAATTTATCCTGAGAAAATTGCAATAAAAGCCAAGAACTAATGCCCAATAGGAAGAATAAGCCTGGAAAAAATGTAAAAGCCGACCTACGTTAGCACAGAAGCATATATCTTGTGATTCCAGCTCAAGCTCTTACTTGAATATAATTAGGGAAAAAAGGTAATTCAGCTATCAGTGTTTACAAATGCCGAATTTTTTTTAAATGGCCACACCTCATTTATCAACTGTTTCACTATCACAGTGTGTTGATTACTAAAATCATATATTGGTCCCCAAAGGGCTTTAATTCAAAAATGCCTCTTGACCTGAGCACTAGAATCCTGTAGGATAAATCTACCACAAAAGCTTGTTTCTTCAAAGAAGACTACTAAACAAGAACAGAAACAAGCATTTTTAGAAAATCAACAGGAAGTCACCAGGAAACAAGCATAGTAATTCTACTGACTTCGGCAGGTTTTAAATGCCCATCTGTGAAGTGTTTCAGTGCCATCTTTTGGAGGAAGTCTGAGTGTGGAGAACAATGGCCTTACGAGACCAAAGATCTGAGTTCAGATTCACCTATCTCAGTCACCTACCAGCTGCCTCCCCTGAGAAATAGAGACATCAGCATCTGCCTCACCAGGGCCTGGGTGTGAAAACACAAGGAGACAGCTGTGCCTCAAATGCCTGGGGATCTGCAGGACACTGTGCAAACTAAGGCGCTGACAGCATTTGGTGATGTTAACCATCATGTCTACTTATCACACGTCACTCCATCATAAAATAAAGGTGTGACCCACTACCATTTACAAGTTAGTGCCTGAATACCCATCCTAGTATCAAGATTCATCTGAAAAACAGATGCCTCCCTTTAGAGGGAAACAGTCAAAAATATAGATTAAAAAAAGAAAATAAAAATGCTCTTGGTAGCCAATCACAAGATGATTATCAGATTTAAAATCAAAGCTTCATAATAATAAATTCAGATTTAAGACACCGTGTTTCAGAAATGCGACTTGTAATTCTGGAATTACGTAACAGAGCATAATTAATATTTTAAATGATAGAGCTTTGCATTCCAGATACCAGCCTGTGATTTAAGGGGAAAACATTTCAGTCTGAAGAAATCTAAATTAACAGTAATAAGAACATCGGAATAAGTTCCTTCCCTAACTGTTCAATGTGAGAAATGTACCTCTTGCAAGAATTACATTTTTGATAAAAAAAAAAGTAAGGTAATCAGGTTTAACACTATTAAAAAAAAAAAACACTAAATGGCAACATTGCCCAAGATCTGTTTCAAATAACTGGAAGCAATTATCACAGGTAAAAACACAGAAACCAAAAGAATTCCGAATGTGCTAGCAGAATGAATGCCACAGCAACCTGGCACAGAAAATTAATTCTGACTTTCAAAATAAGATAACTTACTACACTTTTGTTAAACTGCTTCTTTAATTGAGTACAACCTAACTTTGACTCAGCTTCTTTATTCAGAAAAATACACTTCATTCCACAAGCCAGAATATTTCTAATGCCAGTGATCTCACACAACGTACAAAGAAATTTCTTTCATAGAGATGACAGCCCAGCAGGCAACAAAAGATATATGTAAATCACAAAAGAGCGAGGAGTACAAACCCAACTGTAGAACTGTTCACAAGAGCATGGCAATAAGAGTTAAAATTCGCTTTCTGTAATGCATAGCCATTACTTTTTCACAAGCCAGTTTTATTAAAGAAATAAAAATAAGCCTAGAATTAAAATAAAATGGGAAAGCTCAGTGAACCCATCTCTGTCCAACAAATCAAATATCAAGCTTAAATTCTTGCAGACAGTCAGTCCCTCCACCAAGACCCTCACTCGACCACACACACACCCTACTAGGAATAACGGGTTGCAATAGGCAAATACCGGAGGTCGCTGTTGTAAAATACAGACACCTATATACAAATAGAATATGTCTGCCTCATCTTTCACTTTCAACAGTAAAAAAAGCCAGGGCCAGCATGAAGATCAACAGACCCGGCTGAGTCGGGAACCACAGACCCTCAAGCACAGTGATTCGTGCAAAAGGTAACAGATCTGACCGGATAACGTCTGTGCCATCACCCAGAGAAAAAGCATACCAGCGGACTCCCAAACCCATCTTTATCTGAAACACGCATTCCAGATCCGGGGGAGGCGGGGCGGGGGGGGGGAGATAAAAGACACCGCTCTGGGGAAGGCGGGCTTCATTTACCGTCCATCCCGGCAGACTACTCGGGAAGCTGGAGAAGGAACAAACCAGGGAACACAGTCCTGGGCGGGCACGCCTCCGAACGCCCCTGCACCCCGCGTCCGGTACTTCCCGGGGCTGCTCACGCCCTGAGCTGGCCAGAGGCGTGCTAAAATGGCACAAGCAGCGAAGACTCCTTGGCCGTATTCTCAACCCCCAGCCGGCCCCCAGTGAGGGTGACCCACCTAGAGCCTCCCAGAGAGAGGACAGGCACGTCAAGAAGGGGACTCTCCTGCGTGGGTCTCTTCCCGCCCCCCCACCGATGACTCTCCAAGGGCCGGCCTGCAAGACTAGGTGTGAGCTGCCCACCCCCGGGGAGGGAGGCGAGAGCCCGGACCCGCGAGAGAGAAAGAGAGAGAGATGAGAGAGATGAGAGAGATGAGAGAGGGAACCGGGACGGCGCCCTGCTCCTCCAAAGTGCCGGGGGTTCTGACCCCAAACCGCCTCCGAGGTCCTCAAACTTCACCAACAATCCAAGCACCTGTTCCCTTCACCTCTTCTGCTTCCGACCCCCTCGAATCCTTCCATTTTCCTCCAGTTTTCTCCAGCTCCCTAGACTAACCAAACGCAACTAGTTCCCTAATGTCCCCCATCGCCCCCATTCTCCCCTCCAATGAGCTCATTCAACCCCCGCCCCAACGAAGCCCCCAGATGTTCGCGGTCGCCCACCCGCAAGTTTCCCTGGGGTACCCTCTGGTCCCCCACAGATTCCCTTCAAGTCTCATCCTAACGCCCAGCCTGCCTTCCTTCCCGCGTCTCCCCACAAGGCGCACACAACACCCCGGCTTCCCCCAGGTGTCCCACATCCCCACCCGAATCAGCGCCCCCAGATTGCGACCTGGGTCCCCTCCGGTAGCCCCGAGGTCGTCGGCCAGCCCGCCCCCACGGCTCCGCACCCCCCAACACCTGCGCCTCGCCCCCGGGCCCGTTGCCCCCCAGTCTCCCTCCCCCCACCCCTACCCTCCTCCCCCCAGCCCGCCACTCCCGGGTCCCCAACGGCCGTGGGCAAGCGTTAACGGTCGGTCGGTCGGTCGGCCGGCCGGCGGGCCGGCGCGCGCCCTCACCTTGGTTCACCAGCCGCAGGGCGTGCGTGAAGGAGGGGTCCAGGGAGTCCTTCTCCGCCATCAGCTCCGGCAGGTACTTCTCCTCCATGCTCGCCGGCCGCCCGGGCCCGGGACGCGGACTCCAGGCGGGCGGGCGGCGGCGGCGGCCCCGCAACCCCCGACCCCGCCCGCGCCCCAGCGGCGCAGAACCCGGGCCGGACGCCGCGGCGGGGCGGCGCGGGGCGCGGCGGAGCCAAGCCGGGCGGTCGGCCCGGGGACGGCGGCGGCGGAGGCGGTGGCGGCGGCGGCGGCGCGGGGCGGGAACCGGCCGCGCAGCCCCGGTCTCCGGGGGTTGGCCGCCGACGGCCCCGCGCTGGCAGCCGCCGCCTCCCAGACGCGGGCCCCGCGCTCCCGCCACGGGCCGGAGTGATCAGGCGGCCCTCCGGCCGAGCCGGAGGCGCGCTCCGCGAGCTGGACACAGTCCCCGGCGAGCCCCGCCAGCCGGCGCCGGCGCGGAGCTCAGCAGCTACCCGCACGCCGCGCGCCACCCCGCGCTCTCTGAGCCGCCGAGCCGAGCGCCCGGCCCCGCCCGCCGCGCCCCGCCCCGCCCGCCGCGCCTGCGCGGTGCGCCCCGCGCCCCGCCGCCAGCCGCCCGCTGCGGCGCGCCGCCTGGTGGGGCTGCTCCCGGCTGCGCGCCCGGGCCGAGAAGGGCGTCCCGGGGGCCTCCCTCCGGCGCCGCGCCGGCCCGCAGCTCCCCGGGAGGCGTGCGCGGAGCTCCGCGCGGCTCGGCCACGGCGGGTGGAGACGCAGACCCAGGGAAACTGGGCCCAGAGAGGTCAAGCGGCTCGCCCAAGGTCACCCAGCGAGCGATCCTGGGAGGAGGGCTGCGCGCTCGGCTCAGGGGCCGGGAGGAGAGGGACGAGGAGGAGCGCCCGGGCTCGCCGCCGCGGGCTCTGGGGAAGGGCGGCGGGGCGAGCTGCCCTACTCTCAAGCTCCCTGGACTTCCATAACTTAGCTCGCTTTGCCTCCCCCGCTTCTGTTTGCTAGGAAATAACGCGGTCGCCCAGACGTCCTGCCTCGGTGGGTGCCTCCTGCGCTCAGCGCCAACCCACGAGACCCTTGGAACCGAGGTCGATTACATAAAAGCGCGTGGCCTTCAGGTCGGCTTTGTCATTCCGGCTTGCCGCCGGGTTGTCATTCTCTTCGCGCAGAAATCTGCGGTGCCCGGAGGCGGGGCAGGGAGCTGCGCCCCAGCCCGTGCCCTCTGGGGCACAGTCCCCTGGACGCACGTGGGTGCTGCCGTCCTCCGTTCGTTTGCGCCCCGCCACCCCCCTCGACAAATCAAATCCTCCGTCGGGCCGTTTTCAGATTTCCCAGGTAGAGTCAGTGGCGGGGCCCAAAGACTCCGAGTCTATCCTGCCTTTGCCCCACCACATCCCACCTCAAGTCCGGGCCTCTATGTCCCTGTTTTTGGACAGCCTTCCAGGACTTCCCCAGCAAAGCTAGTACCTCTTCTGTTTCCCACCAGCGCTGGTCTGGCCTCGTTCACGGAGAACTCTGTTTTCCCCAGACCATGAGCACCTCACAGACAGGGCTAGAGTTTTCTTTTATGGGGAAGGGTCCCCAGCACCTAGTGCCCTAGGACGGGTGTAGGGGCACCAGAAATGTGTGATGAAGGAATAAGCCATAGACATGCCACTCCTGTGGGAGCCGATCTTCCTCCCAGGCCCCCAGGCAACTGCCTGTGCTCTTGATGCAAATAGAGGTGACTCGACACCCAAGGGGGGCCTCCCTGATGGCATGGGAGGAAGAATCCACCTGCCAAGGCAGGAGATTCAGGGTTCAAATCCTGGGTTGGGAAGATCCCTTGGAGAAGGAAACGGCAACCCACTCCAGTATTCTTGCCTGGGAAACCCCTTGGACAGAGGAGTCTGGCGGCCTACAGTCCGTGGGATCGCAAAGCACCGGGTGGGACACGACTTGGTGACTGAGCGCTCACCATACCAGAGGTGCTTGGGGCAGGGATCAAGGAGCTCCAGCTGCCCTGAGTCCCAGTCCACAGTTGGACTTCTTAGTCATCAAGCTTCACCCCTGGATGGAACTGACTCCTGCTGAGATGCTGTTCCTGAGTCCCAATAAGAATCTTGTTCATGTCTCTCTTTGCTCTAAACTTGCCAGAGGCAGTCAGATGAGACAGTTCAGTGTGTGGCCCCTGGGACCATGCAGCCTGCATTTAGAATCTTGGTTCAGTTGCTCACTAGTTGTGCTATCTTGGACAAGTTACTTCACCTCTCTGTGCCTCAGCTTCCTCATCTGTAAAGTGGGAATGATAATAGAGCCTATTTCCTAAGAGAGTCATGAAGATAAAATGTGTCACCTCTTAAGGAAATCCCCATAAAGTGTCTAGCACACATAGCCAGTGCTTAGCAGTTCTTTGTTGGGTTTTCACCCCTGGATAGCTGTTCCCCGGGTCTTCTGAGCCTCTCCTTCGCTTTAACTGTAGCTCCTGGGGGCACTTGCATCGCCACAGCATACCAAGTGAAAGGCCTGGGACCACATAGCTCTGTTTCTAACCGGGGGTCCAGAGTGTGACCAGGCAGACACTCTGCAGTCCCAGCTCCTCTCTGACCCCTGTGGATCCTCAGCTAAATAACATGTCTAAGCTTCAGAGTTCACCTCTTCAAAACTGGGCTTATGCCAGCAGTCCTAGAGGGCAAGTTGGAAGGATTTAAGGGGAAATGTTTTCTCCTTTAAAATTAGAGTGGAATGCACAGACCTCTGGCTTCCATGCCTATATCACAGACATTGCATTCTAGGGTGTGAGCCCCTGGCAGCCACTTTTCAAGGGAGGAAGGGAGAAGGAGAGAGTCTGGAATTCACCTGCCAATGGAGGAGATGCAGGGTTGATCCCTGGGTCAAGATCCCCAGTGTAGGAAATGGCAACCCACTCCAGTACTCTTGCCTGGAGAATCCCATGGACAGAGGAGGCTGACAGGCTATAGTTCATAGGGTCACAAAGTCGGGCACACTGAGTGTGCGTACGCACACACACGCGCACACACACACAATCCCAGGAGAGGAGTTGGGGCCAGTGCTCAGCTGCTCCCCTCACCACCTGGTCTCAGACCCTCCTTTCCATTCAGACCTTCTGCCCCCGTGACATTCCAGCCCTGGAGTAACTGCTGTTTTTATTGAGCATTTGCTTTGTGCCAGGCGGGATGCTGGGGTCTTTGCACCCACTATTTTCAGTTCTCTCAACACCCTGTAGGGAAGATACTTACTGTTCATTAACACTTAGAGTTGAGGACACCGAGGCCCAGAGCAGTTTAATACCTTGCTTAAGTGCCACTGCTTTCAGGGAGCAGTCCCAGGCCCATGGGACCTCAAAGCCTCCTCTCCTCCCTTCCGTGTCCTGCCTTCCCAGGCAGCAGCCTGGGACCCTGGAGACCAGCTCCTCCCCTCCCGCATCCAACAGTTGGCAGACACATCTCACCAGCAGCTGGGGAGGAGGGCTGTATGCCGGGAAGCCAAGAGCAAAGGCACTGAATCTTCTGCTCCGGCCCCTCCTTCTCTCAGAGCCGTCCAAGAGGGCAGGTGCCTGCCACCGCGAGTATCCCTGTGGGGTCCTCCAGGGAGGAAGGAGACGAACGTCTCTGTGAGCTGCTCAGGAAATTATCCCCACCCACCAGCCTGGCCAGGCCGTCGACCGGGGGGCACCTCCACGACTCCTGCAGACTCTGCTGGTCTTCCTGAGATGGCCACCCTGTGTGTACCAACTCTCCCGATCCCTTTGAAGGTGAGAAAATCAGGCCTTGGGAAAGGTCATGGTTTTCCCTCAGGCAGCTGTGGGTAGTGCTAGCACTCACAAGGTCTAACGACTTCCAGGGCAGACAGAGATCTCTTCAGGAGCGCACCAGGACTTGCCGAGCACAGGCTTGGCACGTGCACAGTTCTGGGAACAAAGGGCCAGAGGCTCGAGACCACTTAGTCCATCCGCAAGGCATGTGGATGGACCAGAGACCCTAAGATGCCAAGAAACTCCAGCCGCCCTTTCTCCTCACAGTCACACGTCAGAAACAATGTCTTACTATCAGAAACAGAAGGGCACTTTCCCGATCAACCTCTCCTGGTGTCACTAGGCCATTTCAGGAGCTGCGCTGCCCGAGAGCAAGCCCTCCCACCCCCCTTGCCCAGCCAACCACCACATGGCTGAATTCCCACCCAATCACCCCCACCACCGCCACGCCCACCTCTGGAGAAAGATGCCAACTGCAGTGAGTCAGACACGGCTACAGCAACACCCCATGTCATCAGAGGCTGATGAATGTGAAGAGTGTCTCTGAGGTCATTGTCATTTCCTGCTGAGTTACTGCTCACACTACAAGCTTCTGTTCCTTTCGTTTTAAAAAGGTGCATCCTATCCCGGTTTCCCTGAGACCCAGCAGTGCCGTGGGGTTGGTATCCAAATCTGACTGGCCGCAGGGCCAGAGAGACCTTGATTTGGCCCCCAGCTCTCCTGCTTACTAGCTGTGTGATCCTCAGTCAACGACTTGATGTCTCTGAGCACAGGAAGAGGAAATACCAACCTTCCAGGATGCTGCGGGGTTTAAACTGAAGCATGAAGCCTGTCCTTGGCGCTAATGGCGTTTGGACTCTCGCTGCTCTCCGCTCCACCAGTGTTCTGTGTCCATGGTCAGGCCCCGGTCCCTGGTAGACCCCCTTGGCCACATGCTGTCCTCGGAGGCTGCTCAGCTCCACAGCCCCCGTGCGCAGCCGGGTGGCCAGTTCACAGCAAGTACGTTCAAGTCCACTTCTCCTGAAATGCAGTCCCCAAGAGCATCGCTTCCCAGCCACCAGAGATAAATGAGTTTGTCATGTAGGACAAGCACCAAAAGATGGCACAGTCTTACCTAGACATCAGTCATTTATGTGTCAAGGAGACACACCACACGTGTTCACCGTGATCCCCGACCCCAGTCAGTTACAGAGGGAAATGCATTTTCAAACCTTGAGAATGACTGGAAAGCCTCAGCACATGTGGAGCAGGACACAGAGAGACTCTTCAAAGTTGGGAGGCTTTGCAGAGTTCACAGCCCATCCATAAATCAGGCATGCCTCCACCGAGGACTGGCTAGTCTGTGAGTGGCTCTCTCCTATTTTATCCCACTAACCTTCCAAACACCCTGCATTCAAGATCCAGAAATACAGCTGGAAGGGACCACAGGATCAGCAAGCTCACAAGTCACTAGTCTGTAGAGATCAGGGAACAGTTGCTCCAAGCATTTAAGTGACCCCAAAGTATGAAGTGAGGGTTAGACACACATACACACACACACACACACACACACACACCCCACACACCCTCCAGCCGTGTCTAAGGATGAATGGAGTCAAAGCTTTCAGCCCAGTCACTCCCATTCCTGAAGACTCCTGTTCTGTCTCTGCATCCATGTTCCGTACGTCTGTTTGCTTCTCCTGCTCCTTGCTGCTCTAGCCCACTTGCTTCTTTCTCCAGAAAAGAAGCCATTCCGGTCCTTTCTTCCCAGAGCCAATAAAACCACAGACATTGCACAGGCACCCCCTAGTGGCTACGTGTGAAAGCACACGCCCCCCAGATTAGTGGAACCAGATTGACAAGCCCCTGGCTTGGATCTGTGCTGTGCTCAGGGCCTCAGTCCTGTCTGACTCTGTGTGACCCCATAGACTGTAGTCCGCCAGGTTCCTCTGTCCATGGGATTCTCCCAGCAAGAATACTGGAGTGGGTAGCTGTTTCCTCCTCCAGGGGATCTTCCCAACCCAGGGATGGAACACAGATCTCCTGCACTGGCAGGCGTGGTCTTTACCACCAGCACCGCCGGGACCTAGTCTCCTCCAAAAGCAAAACTCACACAGGGCTTTAACTCATTCCCAGGAAATGTGACAGTAAAGTATGATCTCAGGGGAGAGAGAGTGAAAAACGTAGAAGATAAAGGAAAAGGAGAGGGTGGAAGGGACGGGGGAGAAAAAGAAGACAGGAAGAGAACAACGGGAAAGAAAGAAAGAGAAAGTAAAAGACACATCGCAGCAGAGAGTACAAGAGAATAAGGCAAGCGCAAAGGAGGGACATCTCTCTGTGCTCGGCCTTGCTGTTTCTAAGATAAACACTCAAGCAAAGAGTAATGGAAAATAAGAATTGACATGCCCGGGGGCAGTTGGCTGCCCTGTGGCACAGTCAGGTGGGAACAGAGGAGCCAGGGAGAAGAAGGGACAAGGACCCTGAGGTTGACCTCATCACTGCCTGACTTTGTAATCTTTTCAAAATCCAAATCTTTCTCTGTCTCTATTTCTGCGCA